TAAATATGAAAGGTAACAATACTAAACAAAGTATCCTTAGTTAAATTAAAATATAATGTGATAGTTTTTAAAAATGTAAAATATGGCATCATATTCTAAATAGTGTGAAGACAATAAATAGAAAATCATATTCATAAAAATATTAGGAAGTCATTTCTAAAATATGAAAATGAAGTAGGTAAAATCAAATTCAAAAAAGAAAAATCTTAGGTAAACTTGCATATATGTATATACTTATATTAGTAGCTTGAATATATAATCAATAAAATAATTAGGCTATTTAAAATGAAGACTTTAGAGATTGAAAAAAAGAAACTGATTGAACACTCAGTTTTCTACCAGGAACTTCTGGGCTCAGGTAGATAGAATATTTAGTGTTTCTAAAAGTTGGAAGCTCAGGTGCTAGTCTACAAAACGCTTGCATAGTTGAGTAAAAAGTATCATTCATGGGGCACTGGGCTTAGTACAAAATGGCACATTTTAGTGAAGAAAAAGCTGTCTTCTCTTCTGTTATAATGCAGATATTCCTGAATTGGAAAAGGTGGACACAATCTACCAGGCTAGCAGAAGGTGGGCTAGATTCCAGTCAAGGTTCCACACTTTGGAACAAACCACATAGCCTTTTATTGCTTCCTTTAAGGCAGGTCCTTGGGCTTCAACTCATGATATAAGTAAGTCTTAAGTCTATTCAAGTTTATTTGTGAGAGAAGGTAAATACCTTATTGGCAATCTTCTTAGAGGAAATTTCCTCTCCCAAGGCCACACAAGTGACAGTGGCTTAGCTAGGTAAACATATAGAGGGAAAAGAAACACTGGCAAAAGGTTGAAGAATGCAGAAGAAAAGAGAGTAGAGAAAAGGCATTGGTGAATATAAACTTAACTTCTTTTAATTGATTATTAATGAAATAGCAAACTTTGGTGTCATATATATGAATAGGAGTTGTGTCATTTGACATTTGGCCCTAAATGTTAGTTTAGTGTCTGGTGGGTAATAAATATTAATGTATGGTAATAAGAACTAACAGAAAGTTAGAAAGATGATAGATTAGATAGATAGCATATCGGTAGGTAAGTAGGTACATAAGTAGGTAGGTTGGTAGATAAACTGACATACAGATGTAAAGTTAGAGATAGACAAGGTAGAAATTTGCTTCTTTCTTGGTCAGGGGAAAGCATCAAGATCTTTTGAGTTTTGATTTTGCATTTCTATTTTAAGTGAGCCATAATTTCATTAGAAAAGTTCTTAATGTTTAAAGTGTTTTGAAGCACTAACTTGTTTTGGAAAAATATTTTAATTTAGGCTGATTAAGGACCAGTTGGAATAAAAATGGGTAATAACTCTGGAAGCCTATAATATACTCTGTATAGATTTTAATTATATTTTCTTATCTCAATTTTATTCCTTCAATTTTAACAAGGGTATACTACACTGGCCCAAGGAACTCTACTTTTTTTTATTTTGGACAACACTGGAGTTCGAACTCAGGTCCTCACACTTGCTTTCTAGGCAGGTTCTCCCACCTCTTGAACCACTCCATCAGACCCCAAGGAGCTCTTAATCTAGTGAATTAGACAAACAATTAGTCAGCACAGAAAATGCTTTTTAACAAAATTGGTGCATAGCATCAGATCACATGAAAATGGACTATAGGCAACTATCATCTCAGAAAAAGGGAAGTGGGGACAGAATTCCTAAAAGAAACTGACAGTCAGGTTTAGTTTTGGCTTATCAGTAGTAACCCAAGTGAAGAAAAGCATAGGGAGGTAGATATTGAAGCATGACCAAACATGCTCAAAGAAGATTATAGCTGTGTAAGTTAGAATGGTTGACCCAAAGGTATGCTCTAATGAATGGAAGTTGCTACCTACTTTACCAAAGCCTTTTCCATTATTTGCTAAAGATTTTGATTTTTCTCTTGAGAGTAACAGAATACCTAAAAGGTTATTTTTATTTTTTAATTTTATTTTATCATTTTTATATTTACTTACATGTGCATACATTATTTTGGCCACCTCTCCCCACCCACATCTCTGCCTAAAAGCTTTTAATGTAAGAGTTTGTCTTATTAAGATGGCATTTTTACTTAGTTACCCTGGCAGCTACATTGAGGATAAGATAAACAAATGGGAGCTTGTGGAGAATGGAGACATGAATTTAAAATAGCTTTGCTTATGGACTATAAGGACTAGAATTATAGAGAGGGTACATTTGAGGAAAGTGGAAATGTTTTTAACGAATTTAAGGGAATGGATCCAAAATGGTTTATTGATTTCTTTGATGTGGACATAAGACTGATTTCTAACTTGAGTAATACATTTTAATAGAATGGAATTTGAAGAGCCTAGAAATACAGAACAAAAAAAGAGGTTCCAGTGATACAAAAAAGTCAGGTTATGTGTTCAGAATGCTTGATAGAGATCTAAGTTGAGATGCTCTGTTTATAGTCCAATATGGGGATTCAATGCATAAAAGAGCACAAAGAAAATATGTCATTGACATATGCATGAGAGATGGAATTGTGCAGATTTCCTTCCCATTATTCAATGAAAATTTTTTGTTAGTTGGATATGTTTTTTTTATATTCAGGTTTTACTCCATGTTCCAAGTTATTCAGCTTTATTGTAATGAATTACATAGTAATTCCTATAAATTATAAACTAAAAATAGTGGGTAAAATCTGTGTCAGGATGATTTAAATTTTCATAGTATATAGAATATATAATTTATACCTGGAAAGGACTGGGATTCCTGCTTCCGTATATAATATTTGGCAAAGCCAAACATCATTCCTAAGTACTTTCAAAATGTGATTGCTGCACTGACTTGACTCTTGCTGGCTCCATTAATATGATCTTTCCTAGTGCTCCTCTGACAGCCCCATTGCTTGATGACACCTTCCTGACTTTCATCTCTAACAATTCTGCTCATTACTGGTCTTTAGTCCATTGACTTCATTCCCTTGATTCTGGGATTGGCGGTATTTCAATAGATGAGCAAGTGTCTCCTTATCTATTCACTTGAGCCCCTAACTCATGACAGTTGGTCAGACAATATAAGTAATATCTTAGCACTGGATTGCATATCCAAATGAATTTGTAATAGAATGGTTTTGCTAGTGCTTATCTAAGATTCAAGTTTCTTGTCTATCCACTGGTATCTATGAGAACCATTCAATTTGGCTGTAAAGCTCAGTTTCAATTAATCTTATGTAAGAATTTTCCTTCTTGCACTTTCAAGAAATTCCTGCCATATATCTAACAATCAAGTATATTCTGTTACAACTAAAATTAACCATGCTTAACCACATCATTTAACAACAACAAAGTAATAAAGCCACATTATTTGTAAGAAAAAATAGAAATGATAATACGGAAAAAGAAGAGGAAGACACACCTATACACAAATGATACCTACAATGAAATTAAGAAAGGAAAAGATTAGGATGAAAAGGAATTACAGGATAAAAGCAATAGGTAGGAAATGAACAAGTAGGATGATAGTCAGAAGATGAAAAGACAGGGCAATCTGCATATTTTAAAGTCAAACACTTGGTTTGGTTTTTAGCAACAGAAGAAACAATCCTGCTCTGACAGATTAAAAACAAACTGGGTCAGCATTTCCCAGAAGATATTCCATCTACTTCATCTTCAAAGATAGTTTCAAATATTTTGCTTGGGGAAAGTCATCTGTTTCAATTTAAGCTCGCAGTTTTGGAACATATTATATTAGAGCATTTGAAATGGAATTGCTTCCTTACTATTTTTATCTTCTTACTTGTCAATCATAAACTGGTATATTCACTCTTTCACAAGCATTTTCCAGAACACTTAAATCAATGATCATTATAGCAAGTAATCATGAAAGTAAATGACGTAGATTTTCTCCCTTATTTCTCTTACTTAAAATAGAATTCAACATTTATTTTAATGATATAGGAAGACACTCTTATGGTCCATTTTATTTAGGATTATCCAGTTCCTATGAAGCCATGTGAAATAACATATCCTCAGAACAACACCACTTTAAAGTTGCTCTCCCTTTAGAGGGATTCTGTTGGATTTCCTGATGCCAGAATTTAATGCCAGGCTGCCACAATTCTCCAACCTTGGCATCTGATGTGATGATCCCAGTCTAGCAAGCATGGAAAATTTGGATAACCAAATGTCAGGAACTGGAGCAGGGGCCTACTAGAAAACTTTCTTGGGGAAAGTGTGCTATTCCTAAGCTTTTCATTAAATACTTGTATTCTTTATTACACAAAGAAGCACTTGAATAAATAATAATTCAGGAGTCATCAAAAATAAAGCAGAACTTGGACAGGAGATGAGGGGACTTTCTAGTTATTACTGGCTGATATGGAAATATGTAAAACATAAGTAGTAGGAAGGAATGGCTATTTATATTCTCTCTATCCCACGTCCTGATTCTCAATTGAGTGTATCAACATGTGTTACATTTATGTCATTCCTCCCAAGATGTCATTTAGTAGATAGAGATTTATTAAAATTAAGCATACTTCTGAACTCATGCCAGTATTCTCATGTATTTCCTAAAATACTTGAAAATGGTCATAATAAGCTAGGAGAATTTTAATGTTATAATTTTATAACCACATATATTTGGTTTTTTTGCCCTTTCTAGTTAGCAGTTCTTAGAAAGATGAAATATATTTTGCATGTTTTTGATTTATTACTTCTTTAAATACTAACATCACTTTAACATAAATTTCCATGACTTATTGCCCAATTAAAGGGCCAGGAAATGCAGTAAATTCTCAATGTAAGCAATATTAGAACAAGTGGAAAAACAATTGGACCTGCTTTTATACTTATTTAGGTTGATGGTGATATTTAAAAATTGATAAATCTCCAAGAACATTTTGCTGGGTGTTGAAGATTCAGATATACCACTGGACAGAAGTAACAGTATAAATAAAGCACATACTGTTACTAACACTCCTATAACAGTGAAACCACCTAAGAACCAAAGTTTGATTTACTTAAATAGTTAACAAAAATTTATTGCAAGAGATATTTTTCACTGAATTTACAGTTTCAAGGAACGTGATACAAAACATAGTGCCATCAGCTTTGTCTAAACATTAAATAGGTGCAAATACACAAAGATTAGAAAAAAAACAAGAGCATACTTTACAACATAAATTACAGTACTATAAATATATTTTATGTACATTATACATACTTTTAAGACATCATTTAATATACAGCATATATTGTATTGATTTTCAAACTATTCAGTGCTTTAATAATATTATATATATATATATATGAAACTTAAGAATTTATTTGCATCATTACACTTACAGTAAATGATTTGAAACCAAGAGGCCATATTTTGGCCAATTTATTTCCATCAGTTAAATAGCTGATTATCTGTTTAGATGAAGACCTATGAATAAAGCAATAGTTTTCACAAAGGTATCTTTTCTCCTCTTTATGGTGATGTCTAGAAGAGGGGCTGCAGAGGAATGACAGTTGGGTGTGGGGAAAGCAGAGAAGGAAAGAATGCATGGGGTAAAGGTGGGAAAGCCAGGTGGCTAGGATGAAGAGCCGAAGCAGGAATGATTGGCATCGGAGAAGGAGCAAGGAAAGTTGGCTGGTTCCCAGGACAAAGCCTGGGTCCTGCTGGTCCTACTGCGATCTGAGGTATAGATGTTCTGGCGAGAGCTGGAACTTGGGAGAGAAACTGTTGGTGTGGCTGAAGCACTTTAAAGGTTCCTGCAGCTGCGGCTGCTGCAGCATGCTGCTGCAGAACAGTGTGATGGATCGTGGTCACAGAGGTAGAACATAAGGGCTGCTGCAAAGGCAAAGGCTGCAGAGGTGTACTGGGGGGAGGGAGAGGGGGTGGAGGGAAAGTAAGTTTGACCTTGTTGGCCAGCATGTTTGGCTGTATTATGTGCTGGTAGACTTCACATGGTAGATTTTTGAATTTGTTATGGTTTTCTAGTGGGATCAATAATGTCTGTTCTGGTAAAGCCAGTGGAGCTAGGATTTGCTCTGTCGTCACAAACGTATGACCACTGACCTGTGCCTCCTTGAATGGTAATGGTGGTTGTGTGTTAAGGATTCCTGAATTATAGCACAGCCACTCTGTTGTTGAGGCCTCATTCATCTTTCCTTGTGGAAGAGCCTCAGCCAGTTCACAATGGCAAAGGTATGATTTGGGCTGTGACTGTCTAAAGTTCCTTTCAATATTAGGCACCTTAAAAGGAATTTGTTTTTCGTTAACATTTGTTGTCTCACCTCTTTCTTTGTGTTCAAGCAAGGTGTTATTAACTGCTTGTTTTGTTGGGACACTAGCTGTAGAGACAGATGCGGTAGAATCTTTGGAAACCTCTGGCAATTCACGAAGCGTGGTCTCCATTTCTAAATGTGCAGATTCACCCCTGGCTTCAAAAGGAAGGGAACTACTAGAGTGCAAAACCAATTTGTTTTTTACTTGGTCTCCTTGTTCTGAGTTCCTTTCTATATTTGCAACTTCTTGTGGTTTTTTTTCTTCGATTTTGTCTTCACTTATTAATCCATCCAGGTGATTTAAAGATGAACTCCTTTTCATGTGATAATCTATATTTTCTTTGATTTCCAATGTTTCACCTCTAGGATGGAATCTGCTTCTTTTTCTCCTTCGCTTTTTTTTAAACCTACAGGGAGCAGCTGAAGAGCTTGGTGGCTTCAAAAATTCGTCTGGTAAATAATTCTGTCGATTTAAACTTTCATCTGAAGAATAAGAACATGAATGCTGTCTACGTTTTCGATGGAATCTTTCTGTTTCATTCATGAGAGAATTATAACCTCTTTTAACAGGGTGATTCTGACTCACACATTGCGTGTCGTTTTGAAGAAGGAAGCATCTGTGATCTTGACTACAGCTTGACAGTCTGGCTTTCCAACAACAGTAAGTTCTGGAGTATGTTAAATTACGTTCCCCAGAATGTATCATTGTTTGATTTGATTGTCCATTTAAAAGTATTGTGTTCTTTTTGCAGTGGTTTTTAGAACTGATGTCACCATTGTTATTGTATTCTGTGTTACAGGTTTTATGAATTTCTTCATTTTCACTTAAGTCTACATATACTGATTTGGGCCTTTTATCAGATGATTTATGTGAGTCTAACAAATGTTCTTCAGCTACATACTGCTTTTCTGAGATTGGTTCCAGAAGATTTTTTCTGGTTGTATCAGTGTAACTATTCTCCATTTCCATTTTGCAGTGAGTTTCTGTATCTTTGGTTTTCTCCCCATGGTGATGCTGACATAGCTTTCTTCTTTTTTTCTTCCTTCTACTTTTATGGAACCACTGTTCATGAGTATCTTTCAACCTTATTTTGTTGTATTTCTCATCTAGAGTGTCCTGTTTGGCTTGATTTTTAGTGAAGTTGCATTTCTGTGCTCTTCTGTGCCTATAGGAAATATTTTTATATCTCTTATCCATATTTTCATTTTTTCTGGACTCACAGTTATTGGTCAGAGTATCATCAGGCAAAAGAGGAGTGTCTTGAGTGTATTCATTTTTACTGCTACCTGTTTCACAATCCGTGAGTCCTGCATTAGGTAGGTCCTTACAGTCAGACACTGGTTCATTGTAAATATCTTCCTTCTGCTGAGAATAAGGACAATTTAAGAGCAGTTTGTTTTTATCTAGATTATTGTTTAATTTAGTAGACTTGAAGTCAAAACAGAGAGGATTACAGCTATATGAAATTGATGGCTCAATAGTTGTATAAGCCAGCATTTCTGATGGCCACTGAAGAACTGTTGATCCATGTTTGTTAAGTACAGGTACAAATGGCTCACATTGTCTTTTATATAAACCTGATTTTTTATTTAAGGTTATATTATTCTCTTCAGTACTTGAAGGGACTAATGACTCAGGACCATTTTTATTTTCATTTTCAATTGTTGATACATCATTATTTTTCACATTTTCCTCTGTGATAGCTTGCACCAATATACAATCATTAGTCATATTAAGAACTGTGGATTTATTTCCTAACAACTCGGAATTATTACTACTCACAGGTATGTCTTCATCAATAATAACATCTTCTAGTGGTATTTGATCTGCTAATGGGACTAAATTTTGGGAATTATCTGTATCAGAAGATAAAGGGAGCTGAAGCTGGCAAAATGAAGACAATGATAATGTATCTTTTTCACTTGGGACTTCTTTTATCTCTTGAGTTTGAGCAGTTTCTTTGACAGTGTGCATTGCCTCTGGTGGATGAAAAGAGGTAGCTTTCTCCCCCGAATTCAAAAGCACATCTGTTGGTGAAGATAGTTGAATATGACAAGTGCTGGGGACAAATCTACTTTTTCTGCTAAATTCTTTTTCCACAGAGGCATCATCATTGTATTCTGAGAAGGCTGCAGCTGAGGACTCCAGCTTCACAGATGCTTTTTTTGGAAATGCAAAAGAAAAGCCAATTTTATGTCTGTGAATTCCCTGGGCTTGATCCCCAAGTCGGTTATTTTTTGTTGTATAATTATTTGTGTTTCCTGGATCTGCAGGAACAGTAGTAACATCTTTAGTATTTGCTTCGCTGTGAATCAAATTATATTTGAAATCCTGCTGGTTGTTAACTGAATCCACAACAACTCTTTGGGAAATTTCATTTTCTTTCACAGTAACAGTTGTTGACTTGAACATGGGACCACTTCCAGGAGCACTACAAAATGAAATCAGAGTGTATGTTAATTAGGACACTTTGGAAGCAAAGTACTCAAATCCACCTTAGAAATGTCATTACATATTTTTTGCCAATTTTTTACTTTCGTAGGGAGCATTTGCCTTCTACCACATCACAATATCATTTAGTTATTGGTTATTGTTGGAATAACTTGGACATATTGTCTTAAAATGACTTTTGCAGCTGTAAACAGCAATGCCTTAAGACATTCCTGTGCTCTCATATCACTGTCTCCTGACCAAGATTTTCTACTGCCATGGTCTCTTTAGTGATATTTTGGAGTGTTGTAAAGTTCTCTGCAGTAAAATTTCTTCTAATTCACAAATAGTTGACACCATTGATAAAGCATCAATGAAGAATATGAGAAGTTGACCAAAACCTTCATCATTAACTTTAGAAAGGCTAAGAATTTGGTTGAATAATTCATTTAACTCAGCATTTACTGAATCTACTATTGGCTAAGTGATTTGCTGCCAGGCAAAGGTGTGTCAGAGGTAGAACTAGTATGAGGAAAGCCGATTCACTTGGAATTGTTCAGCTCAATATTTGAAATTACCCTGAAGTTATGTAGAATAAAGAACTATTTACTTAAGATGTGAGCTGCATTAATTTGACATTTCAGTACACCATAAATAATAAATTCTGATTAAAAGAACTGTATAGGTGAGCATATAAATATATTAAATACCTAAATCTTATTCTTATACTAACAGAATAATCAGGTGCAGAGTTTTTCATTCTATCCTAAAATTCAAGTTTTAGAAGTTATAAATGGCCAAATATTTTAATTGGATATTTTTCTTTATGTAAGCATTAATACAGTACACTTTCCACTTGCCTTATCTGCTACAAAGTAGCAGCATTGCTTTTTATTTGTATATCTTTATAAGTACAAAACTATTAGGAAAACTATGTGTGATTGTGTGGTATGTATGTGTGTGTGTGTATGCAATATGAAATATATGCTCTACATTGAGAATAGTAATCTAAGTACATATCGTACTAATTGTGGTCATCTTAATACATCAGAATTTACATCTGTAAATAGTATTCCTAGAGCAATAAATTACATAGGTCCCATGATTCTCTATGGGATTAACTTACAATAAATCTCCATTTATTTGCAAAGAACAAATATATTTCATAGTATAATTGAATACCAGTTATGATTATTTTGTCTACTAATTCCATATAGGATTCTAAATGCATTCAAGTATCTTATTCTTTTTTATTATTATGTGCATACAAGGCTTGGGTCATTTCTCCCCCCTGCCTCCACCCACTCCCTTAACACCCACTCCACCCCCTCCCTCTCCCCCCTACCTCTTCAATACCCAGCAGAAACTATTTTGCCCTTATCTCTAATTTTGTTGAAGAGAGAGTATAAGCAATAATAGGAAGGAACAAGTGTTTTTGCTGGT